CCTTGGATCAATTGTTCAAGAAGTTGTTTGGCTTAGGAGGTTTCTACGATAGATGGAAGTTACGGCTTATGCTTAAAAAGTTGTACTTGTCTACTGTGATAGTACTTTGGCCTTAGCATACACTAAAGATCCTAAATATCATGGCAAATCTAAGCATATAGATACACGATATCATTTCTTTAGGAACAAGGTTACCAAAGGTGAAGTAGTGTTGAAACATATCTCGACCAGCAATATGCTCGCTGATCCCATGACTAAACCCATAATTAGAAACTCATTTCTAACTCATGTAAAGAATATGGGTTTATGAAGGGTTTGATGTGTTTTTCTTTGTATTTGACATTATTATTGAATAAAAAGGCATTGAAGTTTTTCATTTCATATTAATTTTTGAAATGATTGTTTACACATCTTTATGAGTGTCACCAAGCTAGAATCAGTTTTTCACACGAACAATTCACCCTAGTGCTGAGATAGCGAGTAGGATGAGACATTTGTGTCCTCAACGCATTAGACTGCGAGACTAGACACGTGTATGTTGAACGTACCAATATGCATAAGGTAAAAGTCACCTTAAAAATGTCTAAGATGAGACTTAACAGAAGTCGAACATGAGATTTGTTTCATGTTGAAGCTTGTAAAGCCAAATATGAGTGTCTAGGTGGGCGCCGAGAAGGTGACCAGGCTAGAAGACTCAGGTTAGGCATTTGTGTAATGACTAGACTAAGATCCGTATGGTGTATGTCCAATGGACATGTGACACATTCATTGAAATAAGGATACACCATAGCATACAAATCATATTGTATATGCTATAACTAACTAATAGTAGAGTGATGAATTGATCCCTGCTTCAATCCATGTGTGAACCACAAGGAATCTATACGATTTCACCCTTATGCCTTTGAACTAAAGTCTATGTTAAAAAGATGAGGTTTAATGATCGCTACTTTAGCATGTTTATCTAAGACAGTCAAGTTAGTTATTGTCCCATAAGGCATGTCTAGGCAAGCAGTTAAATCAAATTAGCCTGACATGAGAGCTTAAGGAATATAGTTCGAAGAAAACACTATGTCATGTGATTCATTAGTTGCGCGGCGTCTTTTGATATTTGTTATCAAAAATAAGACATGGATACATGATACTTGTGAGACATGGCATTGTTTTGTATTTCATAACTAGTGATAAAGAATGTCAAGTATGGTGTGACAAACAATCTGGGGCATAAAGCGATGAACTTCCGAGTGATGCACTATTGTTAGTTTAGTGATAATTTAATGGCAGTGCTCCTGGTTATGTACGTTCTTTCTCACGAGGCCACTCATCTCATTTCCTGTATGAGGAGATAGACTAGAATGGATGTGAACTAAGTATGTTGATTGAGACTATGCCACACCCTATGTGGGTAAGTGAGAGATGTAGGATTTATCTTATGGGATAAATAAATATCAAAGGATATTCCACCTATATGAGGATATTAACCTCCTAATTATCTATGTGATAATTAGATGAAAATCAAGAGATATTCATATTACAATATACTTGGGATTTTCATAAGCTTTTCAATCTTTGTACACTCTTCCCAACCACCATATAAGGAGGCTTTGGGGAAGAGTGAAGACACAAGAAACACAAGCTTTTCCATAGTTCAAATATTCTAGTTAGGTCTTCAGAGCTATCACTTTCGGCTCTAGGCCTTGGGAGGTGAAAACCAAGGGGCAACTCGACATACCGTAGCCAACCCGACGACCTACGAGGTTCTAGACGTGCACGAAGGGTCAGAGCAGTTGTTCGTGTTTGTAGGAGCGTGTTAAGATTCAAGCTTCTGCATAAAAGGTACACACATCATTTCGAATTTATAGTCTTCCAATAGCATTTAAAGCGCCTCACCACACCGAAATCTTCCCCTTCCTAGGCACGTGAGTGCCCCCGCACCCCCCCCCCACCCCCCCCCCCGGTGCGGGAGCTTTTTTCATAAAAATAGTTCCTTCTCCGACGAACTTGTATAGTCATCTACACTTCTTTCCTTGCAATATGATAAGCACTATAGACAGAAAATCTCTCATTCTTCTCATAATGCCAAACTACTCTATCCTTAGTACTCCGAGCACTCAGCAGAATAGATTGAAGAAGAATTACCACTAGACCGTAGTACTAAGTAGCTGGTCTGGAAGTTGAGTTGGTTCTAGCATATTTCTGCCTACAAATAGTGTGTAGCCCTACTGAATCCTTGATGACCACCCAAACCCTAGTCGCTCATTGGGGTAGAGAACGGTATTGTGTTTTGAAGCATCTTTACAGAAATTTCAACTATGCGAGGTGTTCATATGGTCAAAGTTGAAATACTATAAATAACAAGAACCCTTGACAGAAGGGGTTTCCAATTTTTACCAACAAAAAAAAAAAAGTAATTGTGGGGCTCACTCTATATTCTGCTACACTAATCTGAACTAGTTAATCTTTAAGTCTCCAACCATAGATTTATTTTTGTAAAATATTAGCCAAAGTGAAAATGATTGAGACATCTAATTGTAGTGGTAGAGATTGACAACATGGTGTGGTAGAGATTGACAAACGTGGTGTTCTAAGAAGTTCTAAAAATGATATTGAATTGAATTGATTTTGCAATATTTTTCCACAAGAGGCATCTAAGCAAAGGCATACCCTTTTTTTTTTTTTTTTTTTTTGAAAAATAGGGATTAGTTGTGGGGCCCACACTACATCGAACTTCAAAGATTCGAATTGTCTATTTTTCAAGCTGCACCTCTTAGATCTCTTTGCAAAACATTAGCCAAATCAGAAATATTTGAGACATCTAATTGAGTTCAAAGAAATTGAAGAACCATTTGTTGTTCTATAAGAAACAATGAAATTTCATTCTGATAATTAAGTAGGCAAATGGATTAGGATAAAATTGAATATTTGCAAGGATAATCTATGAATTGAGACTTACAAAATAAACGGTTCAATTGTTAAAGTTCGACGTAGAGTGTATCCCACAACTAATCTCCATTTTAAAAAAAAATGGAGATCTCTTCACTTAAAAGACATGTTGATCTATATATGTATAGAAATCCAAATGCTGAAAGAGTTCTAATCGTTGCAAAAGAATATGGAGCATGTTAGTCTCAAGAGAACAGAAACTCGTTGTCACATTGCAAGGTAAGGTGGTTGGTGATTCCAATTGTCAAATTGACAAAGGGTATTATTGTTGGTGATCATTGACTATAAGGGGTGGTTGTGAGAAGAAACCAGACAATTCCAAAATGATCACTCCCAAGTAGTGAACTGCCTCAAATCCGCACCAAAACAATTCACAAGCTACAAGAATAATATAGTCCTTGCCTCCATGAATCCCATCTAAATACTCAAGTAATTCATGCTTGCTATCAAAGCAAAAATAAAGCCAAAGTTGAAGTTGAATCTTGGTCTAGTGGTATTTTTTTACATTTGTAATTGAAAATCGTAAATTTAAATCTCGTTAATAGTTAAATAAATACCAAATTATTATAGCATATTTATTGTGTCTAATTTAAATTCTCACCATTTAATATAAATATATTTTTGCAGATAAATGGTAAGTGTCGATTCCGCCGTCTTTAGTCTTCATGAAAATGTATGTGCAAAACAATCAACACCTTTGATCAAAGACCAAAAACCTCATGCACCCACGATGAGGGGTGTTTGGCTAATGCATCTTCGATGCCTAAGTTAGTCTCTAAAAAGAGTGAGAGTTTAGAGTTTTCTGTGTATAGAAAAGGCGTACCATTTTTTTGTAGAGAAATGGGATATTTATCGGAGATGTGGCTTGCCATTTAGGGTTAATTTAATGAGAATATTCTCAAGATATGATGTAAATAATATTTTAGAATTAAAGGTTTTATCCCATAACAAATGTGATTATTGGAAATGTATTAATGATAGGATTTATGAATAATCCTATCATTAAATACCTTTGAATTTTTCTGGGTGCAGTGGAGCTCTGAGCAGTTGTCATCTACCACCTGGAAGTCCTAGGATGCTAAGTTGCGCATTGGATGTCGTGCTCATTTAATAGGGACAATCTTGTATTTTTTGGCTAAAAGTCCATGTGTCGCCTCCAGGATTTTTGGGATGGAATTATTTTTGGCTCCACAGTAAGGAGACTCTCTTAAAAGTGGAACTCTCTATGAACTCTATGTCACCTCATTTTTTACACTTTTTTTTATTATATTGACCCCAAAATATAAGGTGACAAAAAGTTTATGAAGAGTTCTATTTTGAGAGTCTTCTTAGCATTTCTCATTATTGCATATGGCACTTACAACAATAACGAAAATCAATCATGTTTCTACATTATAGTGCAAATTCAATGCCTACTGATTTTCCTCTCACAAACAATTAATTATTTAATACACTGATGCTGGTAAAAAGATGTAAATATATTGCTATACTAAAAAACAAAATATAAACTCAAAAGTTATCAACCAAACCTCATCCAAAAAATAAGAAAATATGGATAAAAAAAAAAAGGAATATTAAAAGAGTAATGTTATTCATACCATACTTTTATACTACATTTTCATATCATCTTAGGTGACATTTAATGTGGACAGCCACATCATTTGAATTAATCAGATTTTTAAATTTAGTTCATTATTTAATAAATTAATAATTAAGAAAAACTAGTTAATTAAATGATGATTATGGCATACGAGGAGTCATTCTCCTTCCTTTCCTTAGGTTTTGCAAATTTTTTAAATGATATGGTTGTTCACATCAGATATCATCTAAGATGGTATGAAAATGTGGTATAAAAACATAATATGAATAGTATTACTCATATTAAAATAATGAAAAGAAGGTTCACACGTCAACAACATTGGAATAGTGGTGGGCCCAAAAGTTAGTCCACCAACTCCCTTCACCAACCGCACAAGAAATTTTTCTTTCGTATTGTAACATAAGTTATGCATCACAGTACTATTATACAAGTAGTAAAAAAATTTATATTTTTGTTATTAATTTTTTAACATAAAAATTTTATTATTTGTATAAAAACACGTATTGTATCATTCGTATTCTAAACACATTAAAAAATTACTACCCACGTACACCAAAAAAGTTTTATTGTAACTGAAATATAGGTGCACCACGTGTACGCAATTTCCTCTCTCTCTGAAAATCCGCTTCCATTTCTTCCTTAGCGCCAAAAATTCCAAAGCCTGAACCACATAACGAAATGTCGACCGAGACGCCACCGAATTTCTGGGGCGACATGCCGGAGGAGGAGTACTACACCTCCCAAGGAGTGCGCAACACCAAATCCTTCTTCCAAACCTCCAACGGCCAGATCTTCACCCAGTCCTTCCTGCCCTTGGATCAAAAAGTCAAAGCCACCGTCTTCATGACCCACGGCTACGGATCCGACACCGGCTGGCTCTTCCAGAAAATCTGCATCCGCTACGCCACCTGGGGCTACGCCATCTTTGCTGCCGACCTCCTTGGCCACGGCCGGTCCGATGGCATCCGCTGCTACCTCGGCGACATGGAAAAAGTCGCCGCCAGCTCCCTCTCCTACTTCCTCCACGTCCGCCAGTCCGAACCCTACGTCTGCCTCCCGGCCTTCCTGTTCGGCGAGTCCCTGGGCGGCTTAGCCACCATGCTCATGTACTTCCAATCCCCTCCCAATACGTGGACCGGCTTGATCTTCTCCGCCCCGCTCTTCGTCAAATCGGAAAACATGAAGCCCAGCAAAGTCCATCTCTTCCTGTACGGCCTCCTCTTCGGAATCGCCGACACGTGGGCGGTGATGCCGGACAACAATATGGTGGGGAAGGCGATCAAGGACCCCGCGAAGCTGAAGATCATAGCGTCGAATCCGAGGAGGTACACGGGCCCACCGAGGGTGGGGACAGTGAGGGAAACCGCTAGGATGTGCAAGTACGTGCAGGACAATTTCTCGCGAGTGACGGCGCCGTTTTTGACAGTGCACGGGACGGCGGACGGGGTAACGTGTCCGACGTCGTCGCTGCTGCTGTACGAGAAGGAATCGAGTGCGGACAAGACTTTGAAGATGTACGATGGGATGTACCATTCGTTGATACAAGGGGAGGCGGACGAGAACGCTGAGATTGTATTGAGGGATATGAGAGACTGGATTGACGAAAGAGTAGGGAGGAATGGTGGGCCCAATATTTGAATCAAAAGAACAATATCTTTCTGATCCAACAAAATACGCCATATATGTACACCATTCGTACTTCAGAGAAATGATAGGAGAATTTTTTAAAAGTGAGATTTTCTGTCATTTTATATTTTTGGTATAATATTATAATATTAATATCGAAATTGACGTTAAATTATGAAATGAAGTTCATGACCACTTTGAGAGTCTTCTTAGTATTTCAAATGTACTTTAATTGTCAATTAAATAGCTAATTGATTTGATGGGAGGTAACGAGTTTCAAACTCTCTAAAAACAATACATCATATGTATTTTAGTCGTCATTCGAACAAGACTAATTTTCTTGCTATGTATAAGTGCAACAACTTGATTCGTAGTCAAAAGATTTAGCGATTTATACTATTTTGTTGGCTATGCCAATGGCTTGGAAATTCAGTGTAAGCATTTTTTGGAACATCCCATCAAATTGTTATGTATGAACTAAGTCATGAATAACTCATGTTAATACTTGTAATTAACAGGCTTCTGACAAAAAAAATAAAATAAACTCGAGGGAAAGAAGACAATCAAATTGAAATAATGTGTAAAAATAATCATATTGAGAAATTTTCATCCGACGTACATACAACAGCTTAATTAGAAGTCAAAAGCGCAATTTCTCTCAATCTTGTGTAATAGCATTACCTAGTTGTGGCGCGCAAGCGACTGATTTACATATGATGCCTATGTCAATGACCAAGAGATTCAGTTTATTTGACACCTTCGATGGGATTCTTATGTAAGAATTAAATCGTGAACAATTAACGTGTTCATACTTGTAATTAACATGCTCCTGACCAAAGAGGTATGATTGTTGTTATTTGTTAGGGTAAATTACACAAAACTACCTTAACTATTGTACCAGTCACAGTTTCATACTCCATCTTTAAAAAATGTCAATGTCATACCTCATCTACGAATTTATTATAATTTCATACCTTCGTCAGTTGTCTGTCAATTGCTCCGTTAAATGCTGAAGTGGCTTGAGGTGGGACCCCTTTTTTTATAAAAAAAATAATAAATATTACCTCAATATTTTAAAAAAAAAAAAAACTAAAAAAAAAAGAAAACCAAACCTAACTTTTTCCTATCCCATCCGTCACCCCCCACACTTCCTCCCTTCACTCTAGAACCCCACCGCCGCCTCTCTTCCTCCATCTCGTCCTCATCCTCCTCTAGCCGTCAGACCTCAAAACCACCATCAGAACCAAACCACTCCATCCCACCATCAGAACCAAACTATCTCCTTCCCCGTTCATCAGCCGTTTGATGGCTCCGATCCCATCAGACCTCAAACAAAAAATCAAACCCAATCCAAAATCAAATCTCATAATCCCACCCCCAGAACCCCCAAAAATCAAATCCAAAACCAAAATTTCATCACCTCTAAAACCATCAAGAATCAAATCGCATCCGTTGTCAACAGAACAAATTGTGTTCTGGGTCGTCAACGCCGACGCCTTCTGCATCGCCCTCCTCGAACCCGAACATGGTTGCGTTCGCATTGGCCTCTCGCTCTTCCATTCTTTGCTCTGGGTGTGGAGAGTCAAAAAGGACAGAGAAAACTAGAAGAGAATAGGGAGAGACCGAGAAAGAAAGGGGATGAGGTGTAGCGAGGTTAGTGGAGGAGGTGATGGAGGACGAGAGGCGGCAGTGGGGTTCTGAAGTGAAGGGAGGAATGGTGGGGTAGGGGGTGGAGACCGGTGGGATAGGAAAAAGGTTAGTGTGGTTTTTTTTTTAATTTTTTTAATATTTAGTTAATATTTAATTAATTTTTTAATAAAAAATTAGTCTCGTCTCAAGCCACGTCAGCATTTAATGGAGGAATTGACAGAAAACTGACAAAAGATATGAAATTGTAATAAATTAGTAGATGAGGTATGACATTGACATTTTTTAAAGACGGGGTATGAAACTATAATTGACCCAATAGTTGAGATAATTTTGTGTAATTTACCCTATTTGTTAACCTAAAATATAAAATAAACTCGACGGGGACAAACGGAGGAATTGACAGACAACTGACGGAAGGTATGAAATTGTAATAAATTCGTAGATGAGATATGACATTGACATTTTTTAAAGATGGGGTATGAAACTGTGACTGACCCAATGATTGAGATAATTTTGTATAATTTACCCTATTTGTTAACCTGAAATATAAAATAAACTCGACGGGGAGAAAACAAACAATCTAGCCAGAAAAACAGAGGTATTTTGAAAGGAAATTGGTATTAACACTCTAAATTTCTCATTCTACACTCCAAACTTTATATATTTAGAAATAAAAATACACTTGTGAGGAGCGTAGAATAAGATTTTAAAAAATTTGAAGTGTAGAATGAGAAATTTGAAATACCAATAACAATTTCCTTTTGAAATGCCTCATTTCGTTGAAAAATTATATGGAAATTGGAATCATGGATGCAGTTTGCCACGGACACCGATCTTTGAACCCGAAACCCAGAGGAATAAAGCTTGCCATTTATACACTGAGTTAGGAAGAAGGCTGGTACTTTTATGTGTACAAGAAATGAATTTAATAAACCCTTCAATCATTTGGGTTCAAGATGTTCTCTCTGGTCTCTACAAAATAAGACACTGTACTTAAAGTAGTTCATCAAGAATAGTAATTAATTTAAGAATCACTCTTATTGTACTCAGATTTTTTAACCTACTGTAGGATTTTGATTACTGGTACTATACTCAATTTTTTCGACCCACTGTGGAAAGCCTAGGTAGAGATGAATGTTATTTGACAAGAATGAAGGTAGGTACATTTATGTGTAAAAGAAATGTATTTGACAAGGCCTTTCTTTCAACCATTTGATTTGGGCTCAACCACTTATGTTGTACAAAATGTTGTCCGACAAAAGACACAGTTGTTGGAGAATAGTCCCGCGTCTGAGAAATGCAAAATTAATATACAATTTATATGTGGAGGGTTTACATCCATTTGTGTTTCTCAAATTTTATTGATTGTAAGACTGAAAATAGCACTCAAATAATACATTAACCCTTTCTCCTCAGTTGTCAGACCTCAATATAGGACGCTGGCATTTAATGCGCCACCTATGTAAACTAGCATACTGACATATTTTCACTTATCAACCAAACACTTGACAATGAAGTGATAGACGATCAGCCGAGAAGGTTCTCCTTTTCAGAATGGTGTCTCTTCGAGCGTTTCCCCAAGCACCTTTACGTCCTATCTTGGTCTATGTCATTAATTGCGATTCGCCATGTGGCTTGATTGTTTACTGACAAACCTGTCCTTGGAGACTTGTGCTGTAAAGTTTTCAGCCTTCCTACTTGCCATGGCAGTCAAAAAGTTCTTTATATATCCTGGTTAGTTTGAGATTATAAGCGGTCAGCTTTAGCGCTCGAGAGCATTCGTCTCTAAGCCCTTTAGACTTTGGGATTCTTGAACTTCTTTGGGCTTTTCATAGATTTTTGCCCAATCTGCACCACTATATGGGTCTAAAAGTGCCTTGCATTAACATTTACATTTTTCTGATACCTTTTATCCTTTTAACTTCTCCCCTTCTCCTCGACAATCTTGTGTAATAGCAGTACCTAGTTGTGACACGCTAGCGATTGATTTGCATATTCTGCCTACGTCAATGACCAAGAGATTTAGTGTAAACATTTACTTGGCACCTTCGATGGGATTCTTATGTAAGAATAAAATCATAAACCATTCATGTGTTCATACTTCTAGTTAACTGACTAAAGGTATGATTGCTGTTGTTATTTGCCTAAAAATAAAAATAAAACTCGACGGGAAGAAAACAATCAATCTGTCATAAAAACAGAGGTATTTTGAAATACCTCATTACATCGAAGGGTTAAGATATGGGTGCATGTTTGCTTTCACGTACACACCATCCGAAAGGACACCAACCTTCGAACCCGAAACCGAGAGGAGTAATGCTTGGCATTCATCCACTAGGTTGGGACGGAGGCCGGTACATTTATGTGTAAAAGAAATGGATTTTCGGGTTTTCATTTGGGTTCACAATATCCCCTCTAATAAAGACGGTACCTGGAGTAGTTCAGCAAGAATAGTAATTTAATATAATATCATTTCAAAGCATCCATTTACTTTTCACTTCTTTGATTTAGCTTTTCGAATAAGAGAATTTGAAACCCTAATTTTAGCAAGGGGATTTTAAAGCTTAGAAAAATAATAGTCACTTAGTGTTACGGTCTAGTAGTATTTGTTGCATTATCTTCATTTGTAAGTAATATGTCTTAAGTTATATTATTGTGAAGTTTAAGTTCAATGCCAATTTATCTACACACCTCTTAGTGTAATATATCGTTGTATAAAAAACCTAGAAAATAACTAAAGCCTTTTATTAAAAAGGAAATATAAGAAGCTGACACTATGGTCTAATAGAATTCATTATCACTTGTAACTAGTAGGTGAGTATTTTTATTTATTTATTTATTTATTTTTTTGGAATACAATGATATTATGTACACTAAAAAGGTCATGAATTTGGGCTAAAGCACACAATGGGCTAATAATTACAAATTTGTATCAAACTCTTCATACACGAGACTTGAACATAAGATTTCTATTTAAGCATTCCACAATGGTTTAGGCGAGTTTAATGTTTATATGAAAGAATCTGGCATCGTGAGTTTGATTTGTATTAAACTATTGGTACATTGGTGTGAGTTTGATAGGATTGAGTTTTAGAAGCATCACACTCATGAGTTCAACGTATTGAACTCAAAAAGAAGAATCTCTCTCATTGCACTCAAGTTTTCTGACCCAGTGTAGGAGTTTGATAATTGGTATCTCTCAATTTTTCGACCCACAGTGAAAGGCCTATGTGGAGATGAACGCTACTGGACGATGGTAATAAGTGACATAAGTTAGAGTTTTTAGGTTTAATTCTCGTCTATAGAAAGTTTAAAATAAATTATTATAGTTGTTCATTGTGTGACTTAACTCAAATTTAATACCTCTTTTGAGCAAATATACATATAAATATATATGCATGGATCCGAAGGGACTTGATGATGAAATTTTGCCGCATGAAGCCCATTGGGCCAATTAGTAGAGATGTCTATTTTTACAATACCCTGTTCAGCTTGGGCCTCAAATCGAACATTAAAATCTCAACTAATATTCGAATTAGTTATGGTTAAAGACTTAAACAAGTCGCTTTAGTCAACTCGAACATTAAAATCTCAACTAATATTCGAACATTAAAAACTATAGAGGATAGTTCATTTTGTTTTTTTTTTTTATTAAAAAAAAAAAAAGAAGAAGACATTTATATAAAAAAAATTATAAATAATCGATTTATCTATTTACGATAAGTTAACATTAGGTCACAATCTACTTTTTTGTGAAAAGATGGACAACTGATAGTAAACCATGATTATTTACTCATTTCGGGCTTGGAGAGGCTATGAAGAATTTCACCTTGCTAGTGGCCACAATCAAGCAGACTCACCAGCTCGTACGAGTAGATTGTCGAGGCAAAGCCACCAGCTGGTCCCCTTATTTAAAAAAAAAAAAAAACTTAATATTAACTTTTCTACATAGCGCTTTTGTATTTATACGAGCTGAATTTAGAAATTATTTCACAGAAAGGATAATTGAGTGTCGCTAAATTAATCTGTTAGTTTATTTATTTATTTATTTATTATTTTTAATACAAGAAGTAATTCACCATCAATACAATTCTGGTATCACATAAGTCGATAATGTACTTTTAACACTTGGATCAAAAGGTACGTAGAAGTAAAACCTAATACCTCAAAAAACACATATATAAGAATTTGAACTCGAATTAGAAGTTTCAACGTTTGCTCCCTTTCCACTAGGGGTGAGCATAAAATCATGGAACCGTAAAACCACGAAACCGAATCGAACCCTGGCAGAATAAACCCTAAAAAACTATTCCCCAAAAAAATCATCTTAAGTTCAAGAACTAAACCGAACCTTTCAAACCAAAAATAGTCCCATTCCAATTCCGATTCATGCGTTTTGAAAATCCTATAAAGCAAACCGAACCGTCTATTGATTCTTTGTTTTTATTTTAATATTCAATTAATTTAAAAACATCATATACCATCATTTTAAGCCCAGTATCAAATAACACTCGGCCCACAATCCATTAACTAAACCCATCTTATACTATAATTGGTAGAGTTCGAACGAGACCAAGTTATGGGATTTGGATCCCATCTTGATCTATTTTGCAAAGATTTTAGAGATCTTTACATCTTAGTCATTCATCGTGTATCATGCGATCAAAAGTGCATTATGTCATAAGTTTATGATAATCGGGATGATGCATATATTCAAGAATTATATATAATTTTTGTAGACCATAAATCCACAGAATTCAAGTCGAAATTGGCGTGAATCAAAGTATATGGTTTTACAAATAAATTAAGCCAAACCGTACCGAATCGAATGGTTAATATTTTCAAATCGTACAATTTTAATAATAAATTAAGCGAAACCACACCACATAAAAACGTACTGTTAATATTTTTCGATTTCACTAATTAGTTTAGTTGAATTCAAGGGAAGATTGTACTTTCTTAATTGAAATATCAAAGCAAAAGTACAACAATATGCGTGATTGGTATCAGGTAGTGAATGAGGCTCCTCCAATGATCTTTTTGGTGAGGATTTCAGAGATCTTTCAATTATATTCGTTCATCGTATATCGTGTGGTCAGTTTTTGTTAATTATTATTTATATTTAATTTTAAATAAAAACTTTACAATAATTCATAACCGTCTGATATACGATAAATGTATTTTATTTGAGAATCCTCAAATCCTTACAAAAAAAATCCGGAGAGGATTCTCCCTCCTAGGTAGTGGCCTGCCCAAAATTCAGAAGACAGAATGACGTGTCCTAACAATGCGCGCTTTATTTTATTTCTCCTTGTTTTTTTGTTTTGTTTTTTTGTATGATGGGAGTGAGTCATGGGATTTGGGAGGCTACGTGTTGGAGTGCGCGCCCTCACCTGTCGAGGTAGGTGGATGATGTACACCTCTAATACTTATTAACCACGTGACTCTACCTTCACCGCCGATCACAGTGGAGCCCACGTTTAACCCGTGTTCCCTCCACCTCAATCGGATACGCTGGACCCACTGAGGAAGCAACTTGTTTGGAGAGCGCAATACCCTTAATCATGCTTTCTCAATCAAATTAAAGTTTCATAATTTTGGACTTTTCCAGTGCAAAGTTTGGGGCCGCTATTAATTATTTATATTATATTCCATGGCTGTTCAAATCGTTTTAGACCGTTCGTTTAATTTGAATTAATAAGAAACTAATTACAAGTGATTAGCTAGTATCAATCTATTAAGACCTAATCGGATAAATGGTCCATATGGTGTTAATGTAATTGGAAGATGGTCCCCGTGGTAAAAAAAAATTAGGATTTAAGCCCTCGTGGTGTTAGTCTGTTAGCAAATTTAGTCCATAAGTGATTTTTCTGTTAAATGTCTGTTAAATACAGGGTAAAAATGTACACTTTCTTCCTTGTCTCTCTGCTCTCTCTCTACAATTTGTATTTTCTTGCTTGAGGTCATCAGGACCAGAACTTGAGGTTCTTCGAATGATTGTAAGCACGTGAGCTTCTTCGGAATTTGACATCAACCGTTGCCCCATCTAGTTAGGGTTGGTTCGGTATGGGATACCGAACCGAAAGTAGTATCCCGAATCCCAAACCGAAATTTTTTGGGACGGGAATTTGAAGACCAATCCCAAACCAAAATTTCGGGAATCCCAAATTTCGGGAATCCCAAAATATTTTCGGGATTTCGGGACAAATCGGGAATCCCAAATTAAAATATGAAATTATGAATTATTCTTCAAATAAATAATTTAAGAACACATTCATGAACTAGGAATGTCATTCATTCAACACTACCATTAATCAAATATTGGCATGCTTGATTATTTTATCAAAGTCAAAATTCAAATTAATTAAACCCTTTTGACAATCTGTTAAGAGACAAAAGAATCAAACCTTCTGAAATCATTAGCCATGACAGCAACAATAATAAAATCCAAATGAATATCAAACAGAACATGAAAAATATGCAAGGTGTAAGGCATTCCAGGTTGCAGAGCATGAATTAGAAACTACTAGCATCAATTATAAAAGAATAATATATATATATATATATATTAATAATATATAATTTCGGTTTGGTATGGGATTCCCGAAATATTGAGAAGTCAATCCCAAATCCCATACCAAAATTTCGGGATCGGTTCGGGATAGCATTCCGAAAATTTCGGGAATTTCGGTTTGGGAAATTTTTGGTTTGGGATCGAGATTTTTTCGGTTCGGTTTGGGATTTTCGGGAATTTTTTCCACCCCTACATCCAGTAGACCTCCACCTCTTTCCAAGCTCTTAGGCTCACACCTTTCTTCCTACTTCCAACATAACAGCGGATCTGTTCGATCGGGACCTAACTCTGGTTAGATTTCTAAGAAATCCTCAGGCCCCTTGACTCCATAGCTCCAAGTAACTGGCCTTATCACCTCTAGGCCATTGGGCTTGGGCCCACTAAGTTTCAGGGCCAGAAGGTCGTCCAATCAGCTGGAACACACTGGCTCAACGAGCAAAGTGTTGTATGGTTCGTCCGTGACCACTTTGAGTGAGGAGGTGAAAATGGAGTTTCGGGTGTCGAAAGTGGCGGTTTGGGTGTTCATGGTGGTGGCGGTGATGGGATTGTTGGTGGGTGGGTTTCTGATAGTGGCCGTCAAGAAATGGGTGATGTTGGTAGCAGTGGCGCTCTTTCTGGTGCTAGTGTTGGTGATTGTTGTTTGGAATTGTGTTTGGGGAAGAAAATGGCTTCTAGGTTTTGTGAGGAGGTACCCAAATGCTAAGCTCAGAGGTGCCATTGACGGATAGTACGTCAAGGTTACAAGGGTAATCACTCTCCCTATCTCTCTCAGATTTTCCTTTCCTTTTTAATATTTATTTATTTAGTTGCTTGCCCGCTCTTAAAATAATTGGGTTCTCTTGCTATTTAAATTAGATGCTTTCCCAATTTATTATTGATATTACATAAAGAATTCAGAAGAAGCTCACGTGCTCACAATTGTTCAAAGAACCTCAAGTTCTGGCTGCTGCCAATGATGACCTCAGGCAAGAAAATACAAATTGCAGAGAGAGAGCAGAGAGACAAGGAAGAAGGGGTACATTTTTACCCCTGTATTTAATGGACATTTAATAGAAAAATCACTTATGGAATAAATTTGCTAACGGACTAATACCACGAGGGTTTAAATCCTAATTTTTTTTACCATGGGGACCATCTTCTAATTACATTAGCACCACATGGACCATTTATATGATTAGGCCGGCTATTAAACTACAAGAATTTCTTCTGGTTCGCTATTTAGATTATTGGATTGGACCGAAATCTGCCCATTATAAAGATAGAGGTGTTTAAAATATTGGTATCGATGGAAATATCGATATGCAAATTTATGGAATTTATCGAACACCAATGTCAATATCGATTGTTGTTGATTGAAATTATGGAAATTTAAAATGAAATTTTAGGCATTTTCAAACTTTGGTTTGGTTGCAAGTGGCCCCTTACCATAGTGGTGGAAATGAGTTGAGTTATTGAATGACGGCGTGGTTCAAACCTCATCGGTGACTAATCTAATATCTAATCTTACAAAACCTATCGTTTGACAAAAACAAAAAAACAAAACAAAAAATTGGTTTGGACGAAATATAAGAATTTATTCGATATTTAACAAATATGTCAAAAATATCTACGATGTCTATCGATTTTAGCTTACACTAAAAAAAAATTTCCGGTATAAGGTAAAATTTGGACTTCACCCCACATTTTTGTAGACATCGAAATTTCAGTAAAACAAATGTTCACCAATGCATTAAAGTTTTGACGTGTCAAGGCATACATGGCATACGCCACGTGTTGTACAAATTATACACGTGGCGTGTGACTCAACAAAATAGGGAGAAATACCCTTGAAGGACTAAACAAGTTTTTCTTCTCATTTTGGGCAATGACAAGGCAAGTACATTTCAATCCATTGAGGATCAAAACAAGTTTTTCTTCTCATGTTGGGCAATGACAAGGCAAGCATACTTCAATCCATTACGGATCAAAGCAAGTTTTTCTCATTTGGGCAATGACAAAGCATACACATTTCAAGTTTAAAATGGTGTTAAGTGGGAAATTAAGCCATAAGTTACACCACTTCAAGTTTAAAATGGTATTAAGTGGGAAATTAGGCCATAAGTTACACCACTTCAAGTTTAAAATGGTATTAAGTGGGAAATTAGGCCATAAATTACACCACTTCAAGTTTTAAATGGTATTAAGTGGGAAATTAGGCAATAAGTTACACCACTTCAATTTCAATATTGCATTAAGTGGGAAAATTAGGCAATGGTGCTTGGAAAAGAAAAAAATATTTTGTGGTGGTGATTCATTCTCAAAGCCTATAAATAGGCTTCTCCATCAAGGTATCAAGCATCAACCAATTCACAAATACATTTCTCCACACACCAAAACCTTGAAGCCTTAGAGTTCTAAAGCTCTCAAGAAAATCCCGAAGGATCAAGAAAGCACTCTTCGTTCTTCGTCAAATCCACCAACTCAAGATCAAGCCCCGACGGCCCTTGAAGAAAGTGTTCATCCGTTCATCCCAAGATCAAGCCCCAACGGCCCTTGAAGAACTTCCACCAACTCAAGATTAAGCCCCAACGGCCCTTGAAGAACTTCCACCAACTCAAGATTAAGCCCCGACGGCCCTTGAAGAAAGTGTTCATCCGTTCATCCTAAGCTCAAGCCCCAACGGCCCTTTGGATCAACAACCTCAACAAATCCACACATACAACCGTTCATCCAAGATCAAGCCTCGACGGCCCTTGGATCAACAAACAAATCCACACATCTATTCTTCAAGATCAAGCCCAAAAGCCCCCTTGAAGAAAACCAACTGTTCATTCAAGATCAAGCCTCGACGGCCCTTGAAGAAAACCAACTGTTCTTCAAGATTAAGCCCAAAAGCCCTTGAAGATCCGCTCATCCATCAACATTCAAGATCAAGCCCCGAAGGCCCTTGAAGAAACTTCCATCAACCTTCAAGATCAAAGCCACAAAGGCCCTTGAAGAAACTTACAACTGTTCATCCAAGATCAAGCCCTGACGGCCCTTGAAGAAAGTGTTCATCCGTTCATCCTAAGATCAAGCTCCAACGGCCCTTTGGATCAACAACCTCAACAAACCCATACACCCATTCTTCAAGATCAAGCCCAACGCCCCTTGAAGATTCATTCATCATCCGTTCATCCTCAGATCAAGCCCCAACGGCCCTTTGGATCAACGACCTCAACAAACCTATACACCCATTCTTCAAGAACAAGCCCAACCCCCCTTGAAGATCCGTTCATCCAAGATCAAGCCCCGACGGCCCTTGGATCAACAAACAAATCCACACATCCAACCGTTCTTTAAGATCAAGCCCAAAAGCCCTTGAAGAACACACAACTATTCTTCAAGATCAAGCCCAAAAGCCCTTGAAGAAAACCAACTGTTCATTCAAGATCAAGCCTCGACGGCCCTTGAAGAAAACCAACCGTTCTTCAAGATTAAGCCCAAAAGCCCTTGAAGATCCGCTCATCCATCAACCTTCAAGATCAAGCCCAAAAGCCCTTGAAGAAATCCACACAACCATTATTCAAGATCAAGCCCCAACGGCCCTTGAAGAAAGCGTTCATCATTCATCATCCGTTCATCCTAAGATCAAGCCCCAACGGCCCTTTGGATCAACGACCTTAACAAACCCATACACCCATTCTTCAAGATCAAGCCCAACGCCCCTTGAAGATCCATTCACCAACTGTTCATTCAAGATCAAGCCTCGACGGCCCTTGAAGAAAACCAACTGTTCTTCAAGATCAAGCCCAAAAGCCCTTGAAGATCCGCTCATCCATCAACATTCAAGATCAAGCCCCGAAGGCCCTTGAAGAAACTTCCATCAACCTTCAAGATCAAAGCCACAAAGGCCCTTGAAGAAACTTACAACTGTTCATCCAAGATCAAGCCTCGACGGCCCTTGGATCAACAAACCTACACCCTACGAAGATAGAATCAGAGGACCAAATTTGAGAGAGATCGTAACCCCAAAATCATCAAACAAAATATTATTTTGTACACGTTATTCTTGTTTCTTGTTTCAAGGAACTTTCGTGTTCACAATTTTCACATATTTCTCTGATTTTTGAATATTTCCATAAATATAACGACTATATCGAATAAAATTTAAACACTAGCTAAGGTACAACCAAAAATTATGAAAGTTAAAGTCTTTTTCTAGGACCGTCATGTTGACCCAAATAAAAAAAAGAAAAAATTGGGTTCTAAAATCCTAAATTTCCAGCTGGCACAGTCATAGTCATTCATGGAATATTAGAAATTGAGGCATGCATTTTGCTTAGGAAATAAAAGTACAAATAATAATTCAAGACTGCTTCCTCATCGTAATGAGAAAGTCAAGCTTAATAATTAAAGCACATGTGAAATATGTAGCACCGACTAGTATACATATGGCTTTGTGGATTTGACCACTTTGTTTTGAATTTCAGAAAGTTCATGCATACTAACAAATATATCAAGTTTGCGTCAAAGTAGTAACCAATTTCTATTTACAAAGCATTCATTTGATAACCATTTAGATTTTTTCATATTGTTCTAGAGATAGAAGAGAAATACATAGAAGAAATGAAGATCTATAAGAGTTGACGAAGAATTGTCTGAGATATATTAGAAAACATACGTAAAATGAAAAACTAAAACTAGAAAACAAAAACTATCGGTCTATTTGATAATAGTATTATTTTCAGTTTTTATTTTGTATTAGAGATAGATAGAAAAATGTGGAATATAGTATGAACAATACTTGACTACTCAAGAATCAGTAGAACCTCCTACTCAAAATTCTCTATGTTCGAATCAGAGAGCTTTGTGTTTATGATTAGAACCGTTCATATTATTAATCACCCTGTAAAGATCATCTCTACAAAAAATGAATTAAAACTAAGGTTATTTAGTCAATCTATTGTAGTAAATATATAGACGATTCGTAGTTTTTTACCAATTCCATTCATTTGTTTTATACAAGTCGATGTCTTAAACCTTAATTTTAATTGGTTTTTTGCAAATGCGATATTTATAAAGTGATTTATAATGTGAACTGTTTTGATTATAAACACGAAGTTCTATGAATGCAACTAATAATTTTGAGTAGAAACTCCTATTCATTCTTTGAGTAGTCAAGTATTATTCATATAGTATAACTAATCCATAAGATACACAAAATTAAAAATACTTTTAAGTATTTTCATCATTCTTGATTTCTTCTCCTTTTACCCATCACTTCTTAAATTCTCTCTTCATACATTTTCTCGTATCTCAAGCACAAATAGTGACAATTAGCAACAAAATGACTTTAATTAATTGTTAATACATTATGCGGTGTTATGCTTCCAGACGTCGTATCAAGTTATTTGTCCCCTTTATGTATACGCATCATTGTTAGGACTTAAGCATGCGTACGTGTGCGATTGTCAAAAATATTGCTCTAATGAATATTAAGAAGAAAAATGTTAAGAAAATTCTTTCGAAAGTATAATTCTTCATAGATTTTATGTCATCTCATGTTTTTGATACAATTTCCGTACCAACATTATAAAACATTATGTCGAAAATAAAAGGTCATGGAGAGTCCATAAAGACTCCATAAAGAATTCTACTTTAAGATAGTCTCCTTAGCATTTCCCTATTAAGAAAGATTCAAATCGTTCTAAATTAGTAGTTAACGATTTTTGGCGTGAATTTATCAGTCGATTGGAACCAGGAGAGCAAAACCATAGTTCCCATGTTGGTTCAAACTGTACTTTACAACGATTGTTTTTATGTCTTGTGGGGTATATGTTCTTGTGTCGTTGGTGCAAACGTGCAACTACCGAATGACTTGATTGTCTTCATATGTAAACATTATTTTGGTGTGAGAAAAATCGATGGTATCTAAATAATTAGCCAAGAAATATAAGTATTTGAAGCATAAGACCCTTCGTTTTCATGAATTTGAGACTTCCGGTTGTTTGTGGGAGTTCATTCCTTTGTGTTTTGCTTCTCTTAATTAGAAGCTTGCAAGAAACACAAACACGAGTCTTGACCGCCGAAAGGATTGTGATTCAAACTAAACAAATTGTACGAAAATGATATAACTACAAAATGATGTTCACAAATATTTTTTTTGTTTTTTGTTTTTTATTATTACACATTTATTGACTCTTGTTTATTTATATCGTTTGATTCTTCTTTTATATATTCAACTCAAGTAGCAATTAAAAAATAAAAGTGTGTAGAAGGAGAATAAAACATGTAAAAGTCGCATCCTCTTTAGTTATTGTATCAACATAAAAGGATGTTGGGGGT